CCCATGACAACACACTCCATAATTCCTAGGTCATGAATCGTTCACAAACCCAAGCCACTAGTCATCATCATCAATCACTAGGAAGTAAAAGAACAACAATAATACCAACACCTAAATCCCATCATTTTTCAGTCTTTTAGCTTCATTCGGGTAACTTAAACTTCAAGTTTATGTTCTTTTTATTCATTTATTCTTAGTGTTTCATTCCTTGAACTCGTAAATTTTTTAAAGAGAAATAGCAGTGACATTATCATTACCATGGTAAGCTTTTGATGTTCAAGTCCTTGAAGTTGTCGATAATGGAGCAAGGGGTAATTTAGTTTGTTGATTAGCTCGATGATTATATTTTATTTAGATGGGGTTTTTGGGTAAGAAGGGAGAAGAAAAAACATAGAGGAGTGTATTCGGGTGAAGTAGGAGAAGCATGAGAAGGAAAGAAATAAAAAAGAAAAAAAAAGAAGGAAAAAAAAAGCAAGGGAGAAAGAAGAAAAAAAAAAAAAAAAGAGAGGAAGAGATGTGAAAATGGGCTAGGTCTAGACCGGTTTAGAAAGTAAAAAGAAGGAGAAAGAGGGCTAGGTCTTGCCCAACCCAAACCCAAGACAGGGAGGAAAGAGCGAGTCTTGGCCCTATAACCTTAATTTTAGTAATTCTTTTTAGTAAACCGAGTTCGAAATTTTAATACATGCTTTTTACTTTTATGCCTCGTTTAGTTTTTTTTTTCTTTGAATTTCTGATTTCTTTATGCCTAATATAAAAAGAATGATAAAATGGTTAAAAAAAAAAAAAGTGAAAATGATTAAAAAAAAGAGACAAAAACAGAACAAAAGAAAAAAAATAAAGAAAATGCTATATAAAAATTAACAAAGTCTCGCTATCTTATAGAGACCGATGTTAACTAAAATCAATCATATTTTTGTAATTAGGTCATTCTCCGACATACCGATTATATCAAGGCTTAAATTGAATTTAATGTTGAATTGATGAGACTTCTAATCATAGAGTCTATCGATTAGTTCAATATGATGCTACAAAAAGAAATAATAAATAAAGAATTAATTTGGCTTAGGAAATGAAACTTGAAATTTTGATTTAGGATTAATTTTGGCAAAAAATACAATTTTTTAAGAGATAAACTTTAGGATTAAACTAAACATGATACCTTTCTTAGGAAATGGTGTTTTAGGGTGATTGATATCTTTTCAAAGACATGATCAACTCTTTACCTTAAAACCTCCGAACTAATATACATTTTAAGTTCCTAGTTATATTTAATACTAGATGATGATTCTAAAATTAATAATAACTTATATCTCCAAACAAATAAAATTCAACTAAATAAATAAATTATAAAATTTTTTGAGTCCCATTAAACAATGGGTAGCGACATCTATTTCAATCTCTTCCCATGATCATTATCTTCAACCTCAACTACCTATTGAAGTTTTTTGTGATAATATCTCTACTACATATGTTGTTGTTAATTCAGTTAATCATGCTCGTACTAAGCATTTGAAAGTTGATTTATATTTTGTTAACGAGCATGTTTTCATGGAGCGATATTACTGTTAGATTTGTTCCTAGCAATGATCAACTTGCAAATATTTTTACTAAAGTACTGACCTCCTCTCAATTTGCTCGCATTCGTGCCAATTTATGCATTCTTGAATCTCATGCTTAACTTGCAAGGGGGTAATAGATTATGAAATGTAAGAATATTATGTGCCATACATTATGCAGTAATAGATAACATTTGAATGAAAATTTTTAATTTTAATTTATAACCAAATCTAAATAAAAATTTCATTATCTCGCATGATAGATAAAAAAATTAAAGGAAAATATATTAATACAGGGTTTTAAAACAATTCCGTTGTATTCTTAGTTTGAAAGTTTTTATTGTCCATAAGATGTTCAATCGAAATTCCTTCTAATCAAGGGCATTCTAGATACTTAACCTCATCCTTAATTTTCTTCTTGAATTCCGATCTCCTTAGTTCATTTTCTATCACCTTTTGGTCCAAAATGTCATAGAAAATGAACTGAGAGGTGTTACAGAGAGCACATAATGGAGGAAATAGTAGCTAGGAGTGAGAAAATTTTTGAATACCATCTTTTCCAACAAGGAAAAAAAAAAAACTTTTCATTGGATTGCCCCGACCACTTAAGTTGATTTATTGTCATAGCAAGCTCATATGTCATCAATAAATAAAGATACAAGACTAGAAATGAATTTGGTTCAAAAGTTAATTTGATTTAATGTTTAGGTGTTTTTCGGTAGATTTTACTGGAATTCAAAGGTGGAAATGGATTTAAGGAGGTTGTGGTGGACGGTTTTCATGTGTCGTCCAGCATAAATAATGTAAAAAATGGTGACTAGACTGCTAATACATTTGTTAAAGTTATTATTATTGTTGTTATTATATTATCATGCTTAATACTTAGTAGTCATTTTATATATATATGAAATGCATATCAATATAATTTAATAGGCTACTCAAAGCATTAGCAAGTACATTCAACATAACACTAGCTACTAATTTCAATTTACAGCATAGAATTAATCAGTAACCCAACACAATGCAGTACAGCATAGTTATCACATATCACAGTACAATATACTAACATAACGTGTTCCTTAAAAGTTTTTCTTTAGGATACTAAATAAATTTAGAACTTTAAAATTTCGCAATATATTACTCTCAAAAGTCCAAAAATAAATCATATATTTTTTGTTTTCTTCTTTGAGTTAAATACAATTTAACTCCTATAGTTTTTAGAAACTAATTAATTAGTCCTTATAGTATTAGAAATAAATTTAGAGTCCTTTGACCAAGGTTAATCATTCTCATTTCAGTTGTTTTTTTGTTGAGTTAATTATATTTTTAGTGTACAAAGTTATCAATTTTTTTTTTTTTTAAATTTGAGGATAGCTTTAATCTTTGTTATTTGAGTATATCAAGTTGCATTTTATTTTTTAGTGGTTCCATTAACTTTAGTTAACTTTATGCTGATATAATTATTAACTACATATATAACACAAATTGTGAGCTCCACTTTCAAACATGTGGCAAAAAAAAAAAAAAAATTATTACATATTTGATGCACAAACTTGTCGATTTTTTCTATTTGAGAAAACAAATTTTAATATTTTTAAATGAATGTAACTTGCATTTTTTTTTCTTGTTTGATTGGTTCTATTAACTCTAAGCTTATGTGTTCATTAACTCGTACATGTGATACCGTCATATAGACCCCGTTGTCATGTGAGTTGCCATACACATGACAACTAGAAATTTCACACTATGAATGAGTTTTACTATCCTAGAGCTTCTTGTTGTCAACTCATTTGGTTTTGAAACACAAATTGGCTAAATCTACATCATGTAAAGAGTTTGGTATTTAATTTGATGTTTGTATAAATTTTGAAGATGAAATTTTTTTTTATATGATTTGGTGTTTAGAGTTTACCTTTTCTAATGAGAATGAGAATAGATTGTTGTCTTTGATCAATGAACCTATCTTCTTCTTCTTTTTTAATTTTCAATTATTTTCTTGTATATGGTTATTTTTAAGTAATTTGTTTATTTATTTTTTACAATTTTACGTAAAGCTATAAATATCCTATTTGCTTTTGTGTTACTATATGAGAATGAGAATGAATTGTTACTTTTTAATTTTTTTCTAATTAATGTTTTTTTAGTTGTCATGTGTTTGACAATAGGTTTACATGACAGTACCACATGTATAACTAATAAACATATTAGTCTAGAACTAATAGAATCACTTAAATAGGAAAAAAAAATTACAAGTTGGTATACTCCAATAGAAAAAAATTAAAATTTACACTCTCAAATATAAAAAGAATGACAAGTTTGTATACCAAATATGTAATATTTTTTTTCTTTTTCGCCATGTGTCTAATAATGTGATCCACTTGACGGTGGCTTATGTGCAATTAACAACCACTTCAAAATGAAGTTAACGAGAGTCAATAGAACCATTCAAATAGGAAAAAAAATTATAATTTGGCATGCTCAAATAGTAATAATTAAAATTGATACACTCAAATTAATAAATTTACAACTTTGTATACCAAAAATGTAATTAATCCGTTTTTTTTTTCTTTCCTAATCAATTTTCACATGTTTTAAGTTATGGCCATTGACGTACAGAGATTATGTTTTCTGTAATTGGAAGGCCTTCGGTTGATAGCCATATTCCTGTGAAGTGGGAACTATAAAAGTGTGAAACAAATTAAGTATGCTAAAGATGTGAATTCGTACACAAAAATTATGTAGTTGCATCGACACCGTGTAGTTTTGCCGTTGCTTTTATTTTCCTCTCCGAATCCTCTTTTTTTATCCTTTAGAATAAGAAGTAAATAAAGTAGCAGCACAATTCTCCTTTATCTTTTTCTTTTGTTGCTATTTTTGCTTTTGTCAATGAAAGCCGAGACATGCAATCTGCGATATAATTGATTTTATAATGTATCAATCATTAAAGAAACATATAAAGGACCCCAACTTCTTTGAAGATCTAGCGCATGCTTGTATAATTCTTGTCAGATACTTATGTCAGTGAAGCTTTGCTTTATAGATATATATATGTGTGTGAAAAACATTCACAAAACCGAAAACTTTAAGAGAATAAAATAAAAATAAAGAAACTTAATTTATCTCAATTATTATATTATTTTTGCTAGTATAAAGTAAACTATGGAAAAAGTGCAAAAGGAAGGCCTTGAACTTGATTCTTGCACTGAGCGTAAAAATCTTTAAGCGAGAGATAGTACTTCTTCCTTTAGTGTTCTCCAAGTAAAAGAAGCTGTAGCCTGATCCTTCTTTCAGATATGGCCTAATTATGGAAGAAATTGTATTGATTTCCTCTATGTGAACCCATATTTGTCGCCTACTGCTGCCGAAAATAACAAGCTCATGCTACCACGTGTTGCATAACTTAACCTATGCACACCTAGCCTTCAAATCACAATCACTTAGGCCATGAACTTGTATGGAAATGACTGTTTTTCACTGCGTTATTCTATGCCTTCAGAAGATGATATTCTGATTAAGAAGCTCCTGTTGACACATGATCCTGATGGTCGTCACCTAGATTCTGAGCTACTGTTTCGTGCAATGGAGAATGTCCTATGTTATGCTGCTACATCCAAAGTACTAGAAACAACTGAACTTCCCTACATTTTTAAGCTGTTTCTTTTTCTCTCTTTCCCACCTAGTATGGTTTAGAAGCCAGTAGAATTGATTTTCAGATGCTTGCGAGGAAATATTTGGATGAGGATAAATCATATTTTCTCAACAAAAGAGAGAGAGAGAGAGGTTTTAATTACTCTCTTTTTTTCCTTGGGGGGGATGATTCAAAGATGCCTGACAGAATGAGTGCTAGAAATTGACATCTGATTTCTTATTGCAACATATTCATCACTTATCTATGGCAGTAGGAGACTCATTATGAAACATTATGTTTCAACAAATTATTTTTCATAAGCAACATCTAGTATTCAGCTTTATCTCTCGAAAGAAAGATTTGAACTTTGTTGAATTTCATTCGTAGGGTTCAGATTTCTCTTCCATAGCAATGCATCTGTCACTGACTCACTAGAACGTATACCATTAGCAGAGCTAAGAGGCATTTTTGAACGTTAATTCAAAATTCCACTTTCAGATCTGTGGTTTCCATATTGATGCCATTGCGAAGGATGATATAAGCGACATTGAGGTGGTTGGATCGCAAGAAACGCTGGCACAGATCATCTACAAAATTAAGATTGAGGTAAATATTTCTCACCCCATTCTGTTTCCCTTCAAACATGCGAGTAAACCAACATTTTGACACTGCCTTTTTTCTATTTGTTATTGGAGATGCTTCGCAAACATTCTGACAAGGAGAACCTGTATACACGGACGATGATCTTGTTTGACTTACTTGGAAATTATAGATGGGATGTCAAAGTGGTATTAATACTTGCAGCATTTGCAACAACCTATGGTGAATTTTGCCTCATAATGCAGCTATACCCTAATAACACCTTCGCAGAATCAGTCGCCTTGCTGAAGCACCTACCTAGCAACATAAGCCCATGGAATCCTCAATTTAAGGCCTTGAGCTTGTTAGTCAAGACAATGATGGATGTTACCAAGTGCACAATAGAGTTTGAAGGGCTTCCATTTAGATATGCGCAGCTGGATGATGAAATAATGTCCATTACAAAGTCTTGCATCTACATAGCTGCTTACTGGGTCACAAGAAGCACATTGGCATGCTCTTCTCAAATCAGAGACTTGAAAGCTATGAAACCTGAGCAAGTGCATGTTCCTTCCCTTCAATCAGGCTTTATATAAGTGCCATTTTGTTTTAGTTCCACTAGACAATGAGCATTGATATGTATTATTATATTAATGTTAAAATGGATTTAATCTATTTTCCATGCTCTATTACATTTCTTTCTGCACTTTTTAGGATAAAACTGGTGTAAATTCTGTTCGTATATGAAAAGATAGAGGTCATTACAGATTTTCTACTATCATAACATTAATAACATACAGATTTTCTCTTCAGGTGCTCAAATTCAACATTGATTGCAGCATGGGAGCTCTCAAGTCTGGCGTATAAGTTGAGCAGCATATGCAGTCACCTCAGACGGCAGGTGGATTTATGTCATCAACAAATGGGTAACTAATTTGATTCTTGGGAGAGATTTGGAAACCTTTCGCCGAGTGAATGTAAAATCCATTAAGAGTTATTTTGGTACCTCATGTTTTTGCGCAACTTGCAGGGGCAAAGATGCATCAGAAGCTGTTAAAAATTTTCCAGGATGTCCATCCTGATAACCAAGAGGTACTAGGAATATTATTGGCTTCAAAGGATGACTTACCTCTCAAGAATTCTTCCGCACAAGCAAAGGTAATTATTGTTTTGTTTGTAGTGTCTTCTTCATCAGGCAATCCAACATCCACGAAAGAAGAAAAAGGCAAAAAAAAAAAACAAAAAAAAAACAGAGAAAGAGAGAGAGAATGACCAATCCGTGATGCTTAACGACATGCACTTGATTCATGTTGTCTAAATGCTTTAAGGTTCTAAAAATGATAAGAACAAAAAGCAAAAAATTTCTTGGATTTTATTTGCTACTTTTCATTATACCTACAAAATTGTATCTGAAGGGGCTCATGCGATTTTCTTTTGAGTTAATTTACAGCTAGGTGTATCTGAAGTGAAAGACAAGGTAGTTTTACTTTTGGTTTCAAAGGCAGAGCTGCTTCCACTAGAGGGATTGCTTCTGCTGGTTGGGAGAACATATGATCATCCTTACCACAAGAAGTTAGAGCGAAGTTATGAAATTGTTTGGATTTCAATTTCTGATACATGGACTGATGCTGAAAGGGAAATATTCAATTTTTTGTCAAACTCTTTGCCATGGTACTCAGTCCGACAACCGTGGGTACTCAACTCAGCTATTGTGAACTACATAAAACAAGAATGGGACTACAAAAATGTCCCACTTATTGTAGTATTGGATCCACAAGGTATGGTCAGAAATTTGAACGCAATGGATATGGTATTAATCTGGGGTGCCAGAGCATACCCCTTCTCATCTTCAAAAGAGAAGGAACTCTGGGAAGAAGAGAATTGGACCCTGCAACTTTTGCTTGATGAAATTGACCCTCTACTAACTGCCTGGGTATGATACTAGCATCTTCCACATGGTTGCATATTTAAGGAATTAGTTTTATTGCTTTTGTTCTCATGACAGTGCATTGATCTCAGGTAGAAGAAGGCAGAAATGTTTGCATTTATGGAAGTGACAACCTTGACTGGATCAAGAAATTCAATGCCACATTGAAAGTAATGAGAAATGCTGGTGTGCAGCTTGAAATGGTGTATGTTGGCTGTGAGGACCGCAGTGAACAAGTAAGACACACGTTAGCTGTTGTCGATGAAGAGCTGCACACTAGTTTATTCTCTTTCACAAAACTTCATTTCTTTTGGCTTCGGTTGGAGAGTATCAGAAGATCAAAACTCCGATTGGGACAAACAATCCAATCTGATCATATCTTGAAAGACGTGTCAGCACTGCTAGATACAACCGAGGAAGGGTGGGCACTAATCGGAAGAGGGAATACCGCAGATATCATAAAACTTTCGGCTAGTGAAGCAATAGAATGCTTTGATAAGTATCCAGAATGGGGAGAGAACGTGACGAACTTAGGATTCGTTTCAGCACTTAGAGCTGCCCTTGATCTATCTCCTCCTCCAGGGCCTTGCAATCATTCGAAAATTGTTCCTTATGCAGAAGGACTAATAGAAGGAACTGTACTCTGTGATAAGTGTAAGCGTCCGATGAAGAAGTATGCTGTCTATGAGTGAAATATTGAAATGTGCTATTTATTCGATTATCGCTGTTAAACAGAATGTTATATCAGGACTTTGTCAATGTTTGACAATTCATCTAGTTTTTCAAGTTGATAATTTATTGTGATTATCTAATTACATATAGATGCAATTTAATTTTACAATAAACTCTACCATGTTCTTAGTAAACAATACAATAACTATGTCCTTGCCGTCGAATTCAAAAAAAAAAAAAAAAAAAAAATAGAAAGCGAAAACGAAGGTGAAAAACCTTCTACAAGTTGCAGCCTTTTGATCCTCTGGATATAGGCTTAACGATTAAATTAGTAGAAAGAGAACGACACAGAAAGAAGAAACTACAATTTCGCCTCACAAATAAAATAAAATCAAACTTGCTAGAAGCAAAACAGCAAGTAATCTGTGGTTTCTTTGTAGATTTCTTCGACTAGTATAGTAAATTATTTCACTTCCAACACCTTCTATTTCTTTCTTGCATTATAATTTGATGCCATGACATTTTCATTAAATGCTAAATATTTTTCTCACATTAAAATTCATTCCTATTCTCGTTTGGGACACATTTTCCCATTAAAATTGTAGCTTGGAATCAAAGCACTCCGATGTTTGGACATTCAAGTTTTCGTGTCATTTGTGGTAGATATTTCAAATTTTACCCGTCCACTACTTGTTGTCTCTCCCCCACTTGGTAAAGGAGTCGAAGGCCCGGTCACTGTAAGCCATTTGCTTTCTTGGGCAGTAGAAACTAGAAAGGCCTTGTGCCCTATTCCCACATTCCTTGTCCTTCAAGTCTAGAGAATAGAAGGCGTTTCCTTTTCCGTGATGAGTATTTGGGTCCCTATGTCACTCTCTGTAGCCTCCTAAAGTTTAGGCTATATTTTGAAGTTGGATAAGATCAAAATCCTTTGGAGGGATGTGATGGTCTTTCACAAAATCTTGGGAACAATTCAGTTACATATACACCAATGATGATTGGGTCACTCTGCAATGCCTCGAGTAAAATCACTAAAAAAACCATCAAATAACAATTGAACTTAGCGGATCAATTTCCATCGCTATATAATAAGTAAATAACGATATAATAGTATGTGTTGGAATCATGGACGAAATAACTATAGATTAATAAATTATATTTGCTATCAATCCGTTGTTAAATTTGACAAGTAAAATATTTTCAAGAATTGTAGAGACAAATTTGTTAAGAAAAACAATGACAGAATTGTTAATACGTCGTTATTTTCAATATCTAAATTTAACGACAAAATATTCTTTGCTACAAGAAATGTCCCGCACAATTTAACGACAAAAAAATTTATCATTAAAGGTGAAAATTGGGCGCCTTTGAAAGTCAAAATCACCAAAGTAGTGATGAACACTTATGTTCGTTGCTATATGTAAAAAATGGATGGCTAACTATAATTAATTAACAGCCCATTTTTCGATAGATTAGCAACGCATCAACGATGGATCGTGTCCATCGCTATTTTTCAATCCCTAATTGAATTTTTTTTTTTTCCTTCTTCCTCTCCCATTTGCTTTTTCCTCTCCTTCTCTAACTAGCCACCAATCTCCCTCCCTTCAAAACCACCACCAAACTCCACTACTCTACTCTCAATCAATCTTCTACTCTCAATCAATCCACACCCACTACAAGCTCTTTTCTTTAAGAAAAATCTTTATTTTTCCTTCCCTTGTCTTGATGTAATTTCAACTCGAATTAGGTAGGTTTTTTCTTTCTTTTATTTTTTTTAATTATAGTTAGTAATTTGTTGTAATTATTAGGTTTAATTCGGTTTTCGGTTAACCGAACCGTTTGATCACCCCTAGTCATTGTAAGCCATTTACTTTCTTGGTCAGTGGAAACCAGAAAGGCCTTGTGCCTTATTCCCACGTTCTTTGTCCTTCAAGTCTAGAGAATAGAAGGCTTTTCTTTTTCCGAGATTGGTATTGGGTCCCTATGTCACTCTCTGTAACCTCACATAAAGTTTGGGCTATATTTTGAAGTTGGAAAAGATCAAAATCCTTTGGAGTGATGTGATGGTCTTTCACAAAATCTTGGGAACGATTCAGTTATACACCAATGATGATTGGTCACTCTGCAATGCCTCAAATAAAATAAAAAACAATTAGATAGCGATAGAAATTAGAGACAGATCAATTTTTATTTTTATATAACAACAGTATAGCATGTGTTGAACTAATAACGAAATAATGATAGATTAGTGACTATTTATTAGCGATGGGCATCAATCCGTCGCTAAATTTAATGATAAAATATTTTTTAAAGTTATAAGACAAGTTTAACGATAGATTTATTAGGAAAAAAATAATAGAATTGTTAATCCGTCACTATTTTCAATGTTTAGATTTAGCGAAAGAATATTCATTGCTATAAGAAATTTTTCTTGCAATTTAGTGACGGAAAAATCCATCGTTAAGAAGAAAAATGAGTGGACTTTAAAAGTCAAAACAATCAAAGTAGCTATAGATTAGCAACGGACTACTTATGTCTCGCCGTTATATGTAAAAAAATGGGTAGCCCACCGTAATTAATTAGTCATCCATTTTTTGATAGAGCGATGGACGTAATGTCCATCGCTAATTTAGCCGTAGGTCGCATCCGTCGCTATTTTTCAATCCCTAATTAAGCTTTTTTTTTTCTTTTTCCTCCTCTATTTCCTTTTTCCTCTCCTTCTCCAACCAGTCATCGATCTCTCTCCCTTCAAAACCATCACCAAACTTCCCTCATCAACTCTCAATCAATCTAGACCCACTCTAAGCTCTTTTCTCTCAAAAAAGAATTTGTTTTTCATTCCCTCCTCTTAATGTAATGCCACCCGAATTAAGTAAGCTTTTTCTCTTTTTTATTTTCTTAATTATAATTAGTAAGTTATTGTAATTATTAGGTTAATATTAAGTTTAAATTCTTAATTTATAGTTTTGTATATATTTAATTATTATTTTGTTGATTTATTTGTTAAATTTTTAATTTTTGTTAATTGTAAGGTTAATTTATTGATTAATTTGTTAAATTCTTAAGTAAATTTATTAATTAATTGTTATTTAAATTTAATTAGCATTTATTTTTAATTAATTAAGTTAATTTTTTTATGTTTAGTTAATTAATTAAGTTAATTTTGTTAATTGGTTGAATTTTAATTTTATTTATATTAGAAATTTTTAATTAATTATTATTTTAAATTTAATTTGGCTAGGATTATAATTAATTAAGTCAATTTGATTTATAATTAATTAATTAATTAGGTTAATTTTGCTTAATTGGTTGAATTTTAATTTTATTTATATTAGAACTTAGTCATTAATTATTATATCAAACTTAATTAATTTTATTTTATTTATGGTTAATTAATTAATTTGGTTAATTTTCAAATTGATTGAGTTATAATTTTATTTATATTAGAAATTTTTATTTTAAATTTAATTTGGTTAGAATTAGAATTAATTAAGTTAATTTGATTTTTTGATATTTGTTGTGCAATTTGGACATGTTGAATTTTGTGCCTAGTGGTATTTTCAATAATAAAGAAATATCGAATTGAAATATTTTTGTTTTTTTTATTTGAAAAAAATTTATAATATATTTTCGATCGAATTGTTATTCATATGTTAAACTCGTTTTAGGTGTTATTCTTAAATTATGCCTCGTGAATTGGAAAAATCCGATCGCGGTGTCAATGATCGTAGTCGTGTCTCCGATATTGACTATGCAACTGATAATGGCGGTGTACAGGGACATGGCACTACTAGTGCAAGTGTCTGAGGTCGTAAACTTGATAGTGGTATCGACATGTCTACATCGCCTCTAATAGTGCCTTTGCTAATTATGTCTTCATTGGTAGTACCTCTAGTTGCGAATGCCTCCATGACAATTTCCTCGGCTCTAAGAACCTCTACTAGATCTAATTCTAGATGCACCATTCGGATTGTAAATAACTAATAAGTATTTAGCTTTACATATGGTGATTATTTTTATATTTTTATATATTATAATGGAATAATTAATTTACTTTTTTAGCATTTATTTTTGTTTTGTCCGACAACTTGGTTCCATTAAGTAAGCATTCCACAAAAACCACTCGTAATTTTCAAAGAGTGGTTGGACGTCCCCGGCTCCATATGAAAGTTTGTCTCTATGGAGACGAAAAACTTCTACTATAATGAGTTTAGGATAACTTATTAATTACTTACTTATATTTCATATAAAGTTTTAATTTGACATGAAAATACTAATATTATTTTTTCTTCATGTAAAAGTACTTTTTATGGGATGCGTCTATTGATGTGATGATTAAGGATGCATGAAAGAGTCGGCATAGAGGCGATATGGCTACATGTACGGCTACATACTAAACATACCGCCTTCATGTTAAGCAACCTAAAGAACATGAATAATAGACCTATGTTTATTAAACAAGCAAGTGTGGGAAGCATGGCATCGAATTAGGCCATTCTCAAGTATCGGGTTCGATCTCAACAAACGTGTTAAAACCGCATGTCGAAGACAGTATCAATGTTGGCCCATCTAAGCATATTGGAGGGTTCATCTCTTTGATTGAGCACGTTAAGAGTTTGGTAAATCCTATATTATCCATTGTGTTATAAATTAATTTTTACATTTATCGCATCTCATATTATTTTGTCTATTTTTTCAATATAATAAATTGGGTCGTAACCCAAATTCTTACAAGTCGTTTGTGACTACTCATAATCGGAAGGATGGGGCATTCTTTGATAGGTGGTCATAAAGAATAATGATAATTTTTATATTTTTTTAAAAATATATATACATCTACCGATATAATCTAAAAAATATATTCATGATTTAATATTATAATTATTTTAATGACATAGGAGCTCCCGTAGTTAGTACAAGAAATGGTCGCGAAAAAGCGACAAAATGGTGATTCATCATCTCTTGATATCGACATGTCCAAGATATATTTGAATGTTATCGGAGGAGAGAAAAAATAGAGAGT